TTTTTTTTTTTACTCATTATTTTTATTTTCTCTTCTCTTCCTTTTTTCACTTTCATTCCTAATAAAAAAAAATATCATTAGAAAAAGCACTACATTCATGATTGGTCGATAATGGTCGATAGCAAAGTGATGCATATTCACCACTTTCTTTCTTCCGCTTTTTTTCTTGTTGAACCCTTTTGATCGGATTAATTCAACAAGGCACCTTTGCATAGAAAATGAGGTGACCCATTTCATTTATCATTATTATTCCATGGTCAGTTTCATTTACATAAGCATAATCTTCATTTGAAGGGGACCCTTGGCACAATAGTTAAATATAACTAAATCATTAGTTCAAGTGGTGAAATCAGTAGTCCAGTACAAAAGAAAAAATGTCTTCAGTGAGACTTGCTCAACAATGATTGAAATTTTGTATAATGTGCTGCCTAAATTAGCAATGCTACACTACACCTTTCTTTTCTCTTCTATTATTTCTTTCCTATCCAGTGAACTTAGACCAGTAGCTATGCTGTTATACAAAGGATAATTACAGCAATTCCTTTTAATGTGATTTTTACAAATGACAGTGACAAATTATACACTGAATATGGTGAATATAATAATATTACATGCTCATGGCTCTTGATGAAAGCTCTGAATCCCCCTCTTGTAAATCTGATTCAGCTACGTCAACACTCTGCAAAAGTTTAAATTTAGTCGAAACTTGATACAACATCCTCATAGCTCATAATGATGCACATGAAGGAAACCATAGCAGAGAGACTACAACAAGGTAACTTAAAAAAAATTGATAGTTTTTATATAAGAATAAATTACAATGACACTTGGATTTCGTGAAATTGCAAATAACTCTTTTGCTTTTTAAATGTTTAAAACAACCTCCATTATTGGGGAATATATGGTATAATATTTTTTAAAGAATTAAGGAAAGTTTGTGTAATGTCAAAAGGGTGTTAGTGTAATTTTTTCAAACAAATAAGAAGTTAGTGTAGGGTTAGAAGAGGTAGGAGTGTGCATGCAATTTGACGAAATCTAAACAGGTATCAGTGTAATTTACTATTTATAAAATGTTCAATACCCAAACATAAATCTAACACATTAGCCGGCTCATGTTCAAATGTAAGATCATACCGCCGAATCCTTGATCTTAGCTAGGAACTGCTCCAATGCACCATCTCCGCGAAGGATTTTCCCTCCACATCCGGGGGAAGTTAGCGACCCTACTGACTCTTCATCAACAACAACTGCATCTACTCGGTCGCTTCCTGTCTTAATATCAGGAATCTGGTGCACATAAGCATCGCATATATTAGTATAAAAACGTAGAGAATGATGATAGTTTGTGATACTTGAAGATAGTTTATACATATTTTAAGAATAAACAAACCCTTCAATACCTCATACATGGCTTCGGTTAAAATGTTTTCCAGTAAGGCTCTCAATCCTCTGGCACCAGTATTTTTGGCCATTGCTTTCTTTGCTATCAGTCTTAGAGCATTCTCTGTGTAGTGCAACTTAACCTGAAGAGTAGGGGTGATGTTTTAGATAAATAGACTTCCCTTTGTCCACTTTACAAGCTACTCACTTGCACTCTTAATTGCAAAAATAAGATTAAACAAATAGACACGCCGCCCACATGCAGGACAATTTGAATGATTTGCTCAAAAGGCAAAAACATGTTGATCAGGTTGGCGTAGCAAAGACCAACACCAAATGACCCAGAAATCATGGCAAACTAAATCAACCAAGGTTGATTCTGATCAGGCTTCTATGTCATGTTCCAAAATGGTTTTGAGACAGGCTACAGGCAACATCAAATAATAAAAAAAATAAGGAGATTCAGGGATACTTAGATGTCTTTGGAAAAAAAGGGAGGGAGACTACGTGATGAATTATACACGGTATTTGAAACAAAAGATATATCAATTTAGTGAGTAATTATTAGAATAGTCTGCCATGGACAATCATTGAATCAATCACTTTAACAGATTATTAGTTTGAGTGGTTAGCATCTCGGTATACCTAAATTATGTTGGTTTGGAATGAAAAGGATCAAGTGGCCACATCAGTTCAGGTTTTCACACTACATACATACAGGAACACTCACAAGTCTCTCTCACACACACACGCATGCATGGAAGCAGGCAGAGCAAGAGAGAGATGCTTACATTATTCATGCTAAATAATTTCTTGTACTGCTTACCAAGAGCATTTTTTGGTTCTGTGAGAACCTGTAAACCAAACAACAGTTATATGACTATAAGAAATAACTATAAGATGCTGGAAGCCAAAATAAGTAATAACTATTGTTGAAAAATCTCACATTGTCTACCTCAATTATTGAGATGAAACTTATATAATTATTGGGAAACTTCACTGTTAGAATCATAGTTTTAAAAACTGGACCGGTTATCGAACCGGTTAAGGTACTGGGTCAGTGGGTCAAAGGTTGAACTGGTGGGTCATTAGTTGAACCGCATGACTTGGTTTTTATTTATTTTTATTAAAAAAATATTCATATTAAACATATTTTATACTTATAAATTTTAATAAATTCATATCTTATTTTAAATTTCAATTTTTCTATCTTATTTAAAATTATTTTTATTTTTATTTTGTAAAAAAATACATAAAAAATTACATGTTAAACGGTATATTAATACAAATTAAAAATATAAATAATATGTACATATATAATATGCTTGCAATT